AGGAAGAACTTCTTCCCTGGGCAGTGACCCAGCTCTGAACAGGCTGCCCAGGGAGGGGCTGGAGTCTCCTCCCTGGGGATATTCCAGAGCCCTCTGGACACAATCCTGTGCCATGTGCTCTGGGCTGGCCCTGCTGGACCAGTGACCCACTGGGGTGCCTTCCAACATGATCCATCCTGGGATTCTGTGACACCCTCCAGGGTTCCCCTCCTGCAGCTCTGGAGCTGTGCTGTGCTGTCACATCATTGCAAGCAGCAGATCTGAGGGGCAGCCAGGCTTGATGACTCCTCTGTGACAGCACCAGTCCTGGAGCACCTCCTTGTTCTCAAGAACCAGAGCTTTGCTGTTCTTAAACCCTGGGACACGTCTGCTCTTCTCAAGTTAATCCTTTCCCAGCTTCATGGGCTGTTTCTCCCTACCAGGTTAATGAGGGGGCACAAATAAAAGTACCCTCCCTGTAGATTCCTGTTCCACTTACAGGTCTGGGTGTGCCAGACCATTCCTGCCTTTGCTCCTGCAGTGGAGCCTCCAAGAGAAACCTTTCCAAAACCAGCAGGGGCATCCCGCCAACTTCCAGCCAAGCATCAGCAGCTCCTGAGGGTTCATTAATCCACTTTGAAACAGAGCCTTGGGCTCCCAAAGCAGTTCTCAAAGTGGAGTCCTTGCTCTGGCTGCAGCCAGGAGGAATTCAGAGTCATTCAGCTCCTGAGCAGCACGAAAGGATTTAAAGGGTGAAACCTCCATCAAACTGGGCAACATCTGCCCAGGACTTCCCTGAAAACCTGCTTTCAAGGATCCCCAGGGCTTCTGCTACAGTTTGGCTTAACTTTATTTAAAGATCAGCCTCTAGCAGACAATTGATTTTTGGCAGTCTCTGGGTGGCCGTGGAAAGGTTGACATTGTCTGGGCAGCCTTTTACCTCCTTCCATTAAAACAGGGGGTTAAAATAATACACTGGAAGTGCCTTGTTTTCAAAGAGGGAAACAAACCCTGAAGGAGGGGAAAAAAAAAAGGTAAAAACATCAAAGGAGACAAGGCTGTGGCATTAAGGTGGATTAACCTGCTCTGAAAGGCCACCTGAACCCAGCTAAACCCCCCGGCCGATCAGCACAGAGGAGCAGATGATCCAGCCCTGCAGGTTCTCTCGATCCCTATCTGGATCCTGCTGAATTCCCTGGCTCTGGCTGCTCTGATCCCTCCACCCTGATGTTTATACCTCCAACATTCCTCTTAACAACTGTGCAATTTCATTCACACGATCCACTTCCACAGTTTAGGACTTCTGTAGACTGGTTTTAATTTGTCACACTAATTCAAACTGCAATATTCTGCCAGAGATGTAGAATGGGCTTGATACACATCCCTTGCTCTGAGTAGGAGAATATATTAATTTCTAGCAGCTAGAAGTAGTAAATTTAGGTTTTATCTTCATCAGATACATATTGGTCCCTTCCTGCTCCAGGTTTTCTTTTGTTTAAAGGTGACTGGTGAAGAAAAGAGCAAAAATCAGAGTTATGCCTTTTGTGCCTGTACAGAGCAAAGGAAGTAAGGAAGGTTATTACCTGCAATAAAAATAGAATTTTTCTGCTTGTTCCTCAGAAATTCAGCTCTTGTTTGCAGCTGGAAAGTCTTGGGTGGTTGGAGATGGACAGGCAGGATGGAGCAAACGGCCTGGTGGGACCAGGGAAGCTCAGATCTTTGTGCCCACCTGGGCACTGCTCTCTCGTGGGGTTGTCAAGGAGCCCTCAGAGGAAGGAAAGGGCTCTGGGACTGCTGAAAACTTGTGGCACAGAGATTTTAGGAATGATATTTGTGTCTGTCTGCCACACTTGCTGAGGGCCCATGACTTGACCCTTTCCACCTGCGACAACCTCAGAACCTGCCTCAGATGGGGAGGGACAACCTCAACACCACTCACCATTCCCAGATGAAGAAAGAAGGTTAAAATAAAAAGGGGGGAAAGGGGCCTTTTCATCACCACAAAGCCACAAAGAAGAGTCCAAACTCAATTTCCTCAATTTAGAAAAGAAAACCTTGCCCAGGTCACCTCGACTGTGAGTGGTGCCAGGTGAGCAATTCCCTGCCTGCCAACCCTTCCAATCCTTTTGTCATCGGGTTCAAGAGCGTCACTGAGACTCACAACTCAGAGCTTAATTACAGAGGACAAAGCACTGAATCCCACTTACTGCTGAGCTCAGAAGTTACCAAGATTACTCCCTCCCTCCCTTTTTAATCTCAATATTCACAGAATTAGAATGGAAAAGCCAAACCTGGCCACCCAGCCCTTCCCCGTCATGGAGGCTGCTCCTGTCCCAGCTCAGGAAAATCCAGCAGGAGATAAATCCAGGCTTGGGCAGCAGAGGTGGCTCAGGGGGGAAGTTGTAGCTTGGTATTTAAGCTCCATCCTCGTGGTGGGCTCAGCTCTGTGTCTCTGCCCAGCTGCTCCCTGTGGGTCCCTTCCCTGCCTCTCCAGGCTGCACATTTGGGAGCGCTGGAGATGCGAAGGGCTGGGCCCGGGAAATATCCATCCCTGCCAGGACACATTCCCTGAGAGTCAGCAAAACTTTTCAGCCCTTCATTTCATCCCATTATTTCTGCTGATGGCACTATAAATAATTACTCCCCACCCTCCAAGGCTGGAGATGCTTTGCTGAACCAAGATGTACATTTTGTTCGTCTTTCCTCACCCTGCTTATATTTTTTGGTGGGTTTCAAATGGTTTTCAAACCCCACTCTGAGTTTTCCAACTCTGCTGGGTGGAGGAACCAGGTTTCAGGGGCTTCACCCAAGAAGACTTTGCCCTGCTCAGCCCACAGGAACAGGTTTTTTGACTTTCAGGCACTTTCAGGTTTCCTTGCCAGGTCATTTGTTCTGCAAGCTGGGAACAAGGGAGTTATTATCCCACGTCTGGGACACAGGGGCCGAGCTCTTCCTCATGTCACCAAAACTCACAAATGGTTAAATCTCTACCAAAGCGATGGGAACCACTGAGGAAAACAACCCTGACCAGGAAAACCAATGAACACAACATCCCTTTCCCTCCACAGCCCTGCAGCCCATGAGTTAATCCCGGAGCTGCGCTGGGGGTTTCACTCCGTCCTGGCATCTTTGCTTTTGCTCTCAGCCTCCTCCTCTCTAAGTTTCATTCCTTCAGCTGCTCGAGCTGAAGTGTCTCACTGCCCACAAAGCACCTGAGCCCTCCAGGTGCTCTTGCTCAGCTGCTCCTACACCGACACACGGCTCCTCTTCCCTTGCTCACTCCCAAGCTCCCCGTCCCGTTGCTCTCTCACTTACGGCAAACACTGGCAGTGAGGAGGAAAAAACCCCATTTACCCGACCCAGTCCCGCAGTCCCGTGGGCTTTGGGCCGTGCTGAGCCCTCAGGATTCCCCACACAAGCGCTGGGGAAGGATGGCAAGGCCGGGTTTGTTGCTGGGGCTTTGGCAGAAGGGGTTGTTTTGCTGTGCTGATGTCGCACACCCACAGCTCGGCCCCTGATTTACTGAGAGGTGGCCACGGGCGAGCTCTTCTCCGGGAGATTAGTGGCTGTTTTTCCAACCCTATTGCAAGCCTCGAGGAGCTTTGCTATTTGTCAAAAGTGTTATTAACCTCAGCTAGGCAGCGGGACAAATGTTTCCTGGCAGAGCCTGTTTCCCTCCGGGGATCTGGGCAGGATGAGAGACCCAACCTCACCTGGGACCCACTGCCAAGAGAAAAACGGGCTCTCACTGGGGTCAGGGCACCCTAATGATGCACCAGCCCCAGCCGGGGAGGAAGGAAGCATAATACATCATTTAAAGAAATAGCCCGGTGGAAATATAACCAGAGAGATCACTCAGTCATTGATTTCACTGGGAAAATCAATGGGTGAGAGGGGCAGTTAGCAGTGAAATGTTGGGGTAGTTAAATATTGGGGGAGTTAGCAGTGAAATGCTGGGATGGTTAGCAGGTAAATGTTGGGGTAGTTAGCAGTTAAATACTGGGGGAGTTAGCAGTGAAATATAAGGGTGATTAGGTAAATGTTGGGGTAGTTAGAAGTTAAATGTTGAGGTAGTTAGCAGTTAAATATTGGGGGAGTTAGCAGTGAAATATTGGGGTGGTTAGCAGTTAAATATTGGGTTGGTTAGCAGTGAAATGTTGGGGTAGTTAGCAGTTAAATATTGGGTGGTTAGTAGGTAAATATTGGGTGGTTAGTAGGTAAATATTGGAGTAGTTAGCAGTGAAATATTGGGGTGGTTAACAGTAAAATGGGAGAGTTAGCAGGTAAATGTTGGGGCAGTTAGCAGTTAAATATTGGGGGAGTTAACAAGTAAATGTTGGGAGAGTTAGCAGTGAAATATTGGGGTGGTTAGCAGGTTGATGCTGGGGCAGGTAGCAGTGAGATGTTCTCCATGCCCAATGTTCCTGCTGAAGGGTGATTTATAAGCCCAGCTAAAGCTTATTCTGCTGAGGAGATGAGACTCCGGCGTGAAAACAACGCTGTCTCTCCTAATAACCCTGGGTTCTGGTCCGTGAGGCTCGGAAGAAATGCTCTGCAATGCGCATGGAAGGATATGGCAAAACTCTCCTAACCTGGGGAGGCAGAGGGAGAGGAGCCAGAGGGGGCAACCGGAGGCGAGAGCGTGACCGCAACCAACTTCTGCCGTGATTTATGGAGCGGGCAGCCCAACTTATCTTCTGCTGAATGGCAGCTCTGGGATTTAAGGAGCGAGGGAGGGGAAAAAAAAAAAAGCAGGAAAAAAAACCAAACACAACTCGAGGTCATGCCCTTAATTATTTCAAGGGAGGGAGGGAGGGGAGAGAGCGGGGCAGCCCCTGGCCCCCAGGTGTGCGGTGGGAGGATGCTCCTGCCCCGAGAGCCACAAGCATCGCGTCAGACTTTCTCTCCAGCAAAGGAAAACACAGGGAAAAAAAAAACAAAAACAAACCAGGGGGATGCTTCCAGCTGCCAGCAGGAGAGGGGGAGAAGCCATGCAAGCAGCCCCGTCCCTCCGTGCGTACCTCCTGCCGCCGGTCCCAGGTGAGCGACTCCCCCCATCCATGTCGCCGGTGCCGGAGAGCCCCGAGATGTCCTGGAGAAGCTGGAGTGACTGCCGTGGCTTGGGAATAGGGAATATGGTACAAGCTTTAATTAAAAGAGTCTGAAGGCTCTCTCCTGCTCGCTCGTCCTTTTTTTTGCAGTACCGGATCGGATTTAAAGGGCTAGAACCCCAATTTGGCAGCGCTGCTCCCCCAGGAGCCACGCTCTGCCACCCAGGCCTGGCAGTTCCAGCAGCGCCTTGCCGCCCGTCGGGGGCATCCTGGCAGCCAGGGAAGTCCGGAGGAAGCAGCAACAGCAGTAGTTGCTCGGTGGCAGCAACAACAAGTCGTAAATCAGCGCTGCCCCCAGCACGGTGGGTGGCCGGGGGGATTCCACCGGCAGCAGGGTGGGCGAGGGGAGCCTGAGAACTCCTGCGGGTGCAGGGAGGCAAGACTGTGCTCCACCAGCGCCCTGCTGGGTCCAGAGGAGGGTGGTGGTGCCCTGGTGGTGCCACCACTCTGCGGCAGCGCCCGGAGGCGTTGCCCTGCCATGGGTGGAGCGGGCGGTGGGGAAGGGCTGCGTCACCCCAGCTCGGCTCTGCAGGACGGGGGGCTCGGCCTCCTGCCCGCATCCAGGGAGCTGGGACGCAGTTCCATTTGGATTTGGTGGCCACTTGCTCGTGCCAAGGCACAACCCAGCGAGTGACGTTGATCCCTCCTGCGGCTCCAGGTTCCTCCGGTCGTGCTCCAGGTCTCCATCAAAACCCATCTGCCACAGTCTGGGCTCTGCGGGCGCCTCGGGCTGCTCAGCACAACAGGGATGGCCAAAATGTGTCTTCAAGCCCTGCCATTGCTTCCCCACTCCTTCCCCAGCAAAGAGGGGATGAAGATGCAGTGCAGGCTTTCCACTGGTCCAGATTTTGAGTTAAAAGGAGGAAAAACAAGAGGAACGACTGGCCTGGAAAGCCTTATCTTCTTCTTTTCCCCATTTTGGCCCCAAAATGAAACCCACCCTCGCCAAGACCAGCTCCAGAGCATCCCAGTGCTGGCATGTCTGACCAATCCCTTCCCTGCACTCAGGGCTGACCCACACGTTCTGGCTTTCTCTTGCCTTATTAATTAGAGGAGTGGCGGGTGCCAAAACGAAAAGCTGGTTCTAATTCCATGCCACAACCCGGTTCCAAGCTGCTGAGGTAATTAGCAGGTTATTAATGAAGGAGAAGGCTACCAACATGGAGGAAGGAAGGACGGGGAGGGAAGGGAAGCACAATTTGGGCCTGGATAGGAAAAACTGCAGTCAAGTTGGAGACTCCCTTGCCCAAGCCAATGCTTTGAAGTGACTTCAGCGCCCGGCAAGGCGCTCCCGGCACGGGGCTGGGAGCGGATCTGCAGAGCGTCGTGCCGAGGCGTCTGCTTGGCTGGGGGCCACACCAGGGAGTGAAATGGCTCTGTCTCATCCCAGTAGCCTGTTGACGTCCATCTGGCTCCAGGGAGTGGAGGGGAAGCAGTTTGGGATCCTGCTTTTTCACTAGTCTGGGGTCACGTTGCGTTGACTCGGGACTGTCGGGTCTGGTGGAGCATCACTGTCACTCTGCAGGGGTTCCTGCTGGTGGCTGCAGGGCTTCACCCCTAACACATCTTCCCCCAGAGGGTGGTTGGCACTGAACAGGCTCCCCAGGGCAGTGGGCACAGCCCCAAGGCTGCCAGAGCTGCAGGAGGGTTTGGATGATCCTCTGGGGCACAGGGGGTGACTCTTGGGGCTGGGCCTGTGCAGAGCCGAAGGTTGAACTCCATGATCCTTGTGAGTCTCTCCCAGCTCAGCACATTCTGTGACTCTGTGAACACCTTCACATCTTCCCTCAAGATCAATCTGATAACAAGCATCGATACCATCTCCCAGGCATCAGCTGCAAATTGCTCATAAGACATCACTTGGCAGAGGCTGGTGGGGAAGTGCTTTCCTAAACGACTGAGGTGGGCCAGGCAGAGGTAAAATGCCAGCAAAACCAGGGCATCCTGAGAAATCCCAGCCTCTGGCCTGAGCTGTTGCCTTCCTCGTGTGCATCTCGGAGGCCTGTGGTTGTTGCTCCTTTAATTATTAATCCTTGCATTGACGCAATCAGATGTGCACAAGCTTCTAACGGATGCTCCGAGGTAAAAAAACGAAGGATAAATTTCCTTCCCTCCCTCAAAACTTCTCGCAGTCCCATGACCAATTTTATTGCCGTTCTGCTCTAATTTTAAATCTAACGAGAAGCATTAAGGCTTTCAATTAAAAGATCTCTTCCTTCAGATACTGGAACGTAGCCTGAAGTGGAGACCACGTGTGATATTTTTCACTGGGGTGGTGTGGTTTATATCTGAGTTCCAGATCAGCTGCCTCAGCAGCTGGGCTTGGGCTTGTGCACTGCCTGGTTGGCCAGAGTTGGGTGGCAGTGCCCAGGTGTTCCACTTTGGGAAGATCCTCAGCCTTGTTTGGGGGTTTTTCTCACATCTTTGTGTTTCTGAAGTGACCCTTGCATCTACTTTTTTCTGGTTTGGTCAGCCTGGAAGTCTGTGGTGAGGGACAAATAACCCTCAGCATGATGCCACCCTGGAATCTTGGATTTTTTGGCCATGTAATATCCATGTCTTCCCTTTTCTTTAGGATGAGCTGATCCATGGCCGTGACACGGGAGCAATGAGCTCAAAACTCCTCATTTACCATGGTTTCAGTGCTGGGTTCATCACAGAATCCCAGGATGTGCTGAGCTGGGAGGGACCCCCAAGGATCCTGGAGTCCAACCCTCAGCCCTGCACAGGCCCAGCCCCAAGAGTCCCCCCCTGTGCCCCAGAGGATCATCCAAACCCTCCTGCAGCTCTGGCAGCCTTGGGGCTGTGCCCACTGCCCTGGGGAGCCTGTTCAGTGCCAACCACCCTCTGGGGGAAGAACCTTTTGCTGAGATCCACCCTGAGCCTGCCCTGACACAGCTCCAGCCATTCCCTGGGGGCTGTCCCTGGTCCCCCAGAGCAGAGCTCAGGGCCTGTCTCCTTTTATTCCCCTCACAAGAAAGTTGTTGGCACCATTAAATGTGAAGTTTGGTTCACTGAAGGTTTTCTGACATCTAGAACTTCAATCTTCCGCTTTTCCACCAACCTCAGTCTTGCACTTGACACCATTTGGTGTCCCTGCAGGACAAGTCTCCTGGAGAGCTTGTAGCTGTGTGGATATGTAATCTCAGGCAGAAATCAATGTTTGCAGGTTTCTGGGGATGAGATGGAAAGATAGAGCAGGAGACATCAAACAGCACCAAGGCAGAGGCTCTGCAGGGGAGAGGAGCTGAATCAGGAGGCTGGATCAGACCCTGGGTCTTCCATGAGGCACCTCTTATTTACACCAAATCTCGGGTCTGAGGCCCCCAGGCAGGGTGGGAAGGGGGCAGGGACAGGGGAGATGTGATCCAAGCCATGGAGTGGCAGAAAACCCACCAGTGACATGCAGAGCTGTGCAGGATCTTGTCCAGAAACCACGTCGTGTTGCCGCTAAATTCCTTTTCCAACCCAAACCATGGGGAGGGAGGTGGTGGAGTCACCATCCCTGGAGGTGTTGAAGAAGAGACTGGATGTGGCTCTTGCTGCCCTGGTCTAGTAGACAAGGTGATGTTGGGTCACAGGTTGGACTCGATGGTCTCCAACCAACCTGACTCTGTTTCTGTGAGGCTGCTGGGAAGGCCAGGAGTGGCCAAGCACGTGGCCAGGGTCACTGCCTGAGCCAAGCTGTGTTAACTTCTGCCACTGCTGCACGTTCTGATGCATCTCTCCTCTCTCCACCACATTTTCTGGAGGGGGAAACCATCTCACTCACTCCGGTTTCAAGGCTGGAAGAGCCCCTTGCTGCCTCTCTCGCTCAGGGTTTCCCAGGGCACAGACTGGAGGGTTTATTGATGGAACATCCTTGTCCAGGACAACCAGGCTGGTTGGAGCCCCCAGTCAATCCACAATCCAAAGGGCAGTTGGTGTGATAACCCTTTTTGTGCTGACATGGGAGCAGCACTCAGAGGATCTGCTCAGATGGACTCTCCAATTGCAGCATCGTGTCAGGCCACGAGAACCTCCCCCTGCTTTTGCAATCAATCACCCAAATTACCGCCCTTCCCTGAAGATGAAAAGCAAAGAGAATAAAACATGCTGCAAACCTGTAGGCAGGGGTTTGGTCTCCTGGATTCCAACTCAAAGCTTTGAGAACCTTGTTTGCTTTGCACCAAGTGTCACCAGGGGATTATTTTTTTTTTTTTAGAACTTCAAAAGGAATTTGGAAACAAACAAAAAAAACCTAGTTAAACACGGGGGAGCTGGTGTTTAATCCACTTTTGCATATCTGTTCCCAGTCTCCTTTTGCTGACTTTCCAAATCCCTCTGGGACTTTGATGTCCAAGCTCAGGTCATGGAGAAAGTTCTCATCCGTCTCTCAGAATAAAGGGCTATTTAATTAATTTAATCGCAAATTATTCCTTTTCTCCCAGATTTGTAAATTAAACAAGATTCATGCCACGTGCTTGTGTCCATCTGTCTCACTGGCTTCTCCCTGACCTTGACCCTGATCAATGCCAGGCTGTTCTGTAAGGAGAGAACCCTTCAGAAGTTGCAGATCTTGCTATATATAAAAAAAAACCCTTCACCAGGATTTGTGAGACAGAAATCAGCATAAAACTAATCTTTACTGTGTCTGCTGCAAGGGGATGTGATAAAGACCAATAAAAAGCAGTATCTGTGCTCCAGCCAAGGGCTGTTCAAAACTGAAAATGTGGGAAAAAAGAAAAGAAAGGATTTTTTTTGTTGTTTCCACTGGGTGATATTTTGTGCAAGACACCCTGAGAGCAAGGGCTGAGCCCAGGGAGGAGTTGCACGTGGGCAAATGATGGGAATCCCTGTTGGCACTGCAAAGCAGCTGGGAAGAAAAATGGGAAGGAGACCTAAAGCACCCTGCTTGAGGACATAAATCAGCCTCTAACTGACAGTGGAAGCAGAAAAAAACCCTTATTGATGGGCTGCTTTAGGTTCTCAAAATGTAAAAGGAGAACTGTGCTGACAGGTTTAACAACTGCCCTCGGATTAGGGCTGTTCCCAGCTTTGGTCTGAAGAAAAGCCAAGGTCACAGAGCCAGTGCAAGCTGTCCATCCTTCTTGATTTTTGCATGTATTGGCCCACTCAAGCTCGATTTCAAACTGCAGCAGGGATCTCAGGGATCTGCTCTTCCAGCAGGTTTGCTGAGGAGCGGTTGGAGAAGTGAGAAAGCCCAAAATAACATCGGGGACAGGACGAGACAAATCAGCTCTGTCACACGCCCCTGTCCAGCCCATCAGCAAACACAGGATCACAGGCTGGGAAAGCCCTCTGGGATCATGCAGTCCAACAGTCCCCCAGCACTGCCAAGGCCACCGCTGACCCCTGTCCCCAAGAGCCACATCCACGCGTGGTAAATGCCACCAGGGGTGGTGACTCCACCTCTGCCCTGGGCAAGTTTTC